TGAGTGCTGAGGCTGCTGAAAAAGAAATTGAGGATTTGGTGTCCTCAATTTCTTTTCTATTTTAAAAGGGAAATGTCAGCGGTCTGTTTGGACCCCTAATATTTTCCCGAAGCCCCCCAACAGTAAAAAAATAAATATAAAAAATATGTATATTTATAAAATGTAAAACATTATTTTAAAAAAGTGAAAACTGCCCCCCCCTTCCCCACACGCATATTATTAGACATGTGCGAAGACTAAAAATTAATTTCGGATCAAAAGAACGAAAACTAAAAACGTTTTCATTTGTTTCATCAAACAAAACACATTTATGCTATTTTGGATTCAGCCATTGGCGTGTTCTGGAGGCAAGGCCGCATGACGTCATATAACACCGCACGTGTTGGGTGCCGCCATCTTGGTGTATATCTAGGTATACACCAAGATGGCGGCGCCTATATCGGCGTCTGATGTCACGCATGCAAGATGTCATGTAACGTCATGCTCTCCGCCTCCAAGATGGCGGCACGCATTCGCAGAACGCGCCGATCGCCAAAATGGCCGCCACACATTCTCAAACAAATTATTATGTGCCCGAATACATTTTTCGTATATTCGGGCAAATAGTAATTCATTAATTTTACAAGTAGTCTGGGTTTTGTGTTCTGTTTTTTATTTTTACTTTTCTAGATATACTTACTTGAAGAAAGGGTCGGCAAGACAAGCTGACACTTTATTTTTATAGACTCTATTTTAGTTTGACATTTATTGTTTATCACTTGTTTGCCTTCTGATGTTTTATTTAATAAGAATACTTTTATTGCGCCTACAAGTTTAATACCCTTGAATAAAAGTTTTATTTTTATCATACTTTTTAATATGTTTCTTTGGGGCTTAACAAAATAGGAGTCTTTAAATGGTGCGGATATCGGGGAAATGGGTGTGGCTACTGAAGGGTGTGTAGGGTTGCCACCTTTTCTTCAAGCGAAACCCGAACACTCTAGTAGCCCCTATCTTGATTTTGGTTGCCCCTGTCTGCCTAACATCTTGTGTCTGGGTTTCTGCTGCCATGAAACCCGGACACAGCATTCAAAACCCGAACTGTCCTGTTGAATCCTGGACAGGTGGCAACCCTAAGGCTGTGGCCACTGAGGGGCGCTGTAAAGCTTTCTCGCACAGGGAGCCTAAAGGCCTAAGGCCGGCCCTGGTGTTACTTGCCCCCTGGGCCAAAAGTTGCCAGTCAGCCCCTTTTCCTGAGGATGTAAAAGCGCCCTTCCTTGACCTGTTCTTTTCCCGCCCCAAAAAATCCCCTTTTTATTTTACGCTTTATTTACAGCAAGAAAAAAAAGTTAACTAAAAAAAATAATTGTGACAGTGCGGAAATACAAATCACTAAATTAAATAAACTACCCTAAATACAGCCCCCACATACTTTTTCGCCAAGCAGCTCAGTTATGAAAAAGGGTTTCCATTCTGACTAAATGAATTTCACCCGAGTCACCGCATTCCTATCACTGTCATTGGGGACTGAGCATAGACCATAGAGGTGTGCGGTCCTCCACCCGCATAGAGCGTCTCCCGTTGCTGGCTGCAGACCTCAGAAAATGTGTAGAGATCCCGCTCCCACGCCCCGTGCTGTTATTGTGTGCGGCCACTTATGTGTCCCCAGTTATGAATGAACAGGCTGTGATTTACATCACAGCCTGTTCATTCAAGATTTCCTCAATGGGGAGAAGCACTCAGCACAGAGGCTCCTCCCCATTCAGAAGCTGCTGATAGTACAGAGGCTTCCCATTCATATTTACTGAGTGCTTCCTATTCAGTGAGTGCTGAGGCTGCTGAAAAAGAAATTGAGGATTTGGTGTCCTCAATTTCTTTTCTATTTTAAAAGGGAAATGTCAGCGGTCTGTTTGGACCCCTAATATTTTCCCGAAGCCCCCCAACAGTAAAAAAATAAATATAAAAAATATGTATATTTATAAAATGTAAAACATTATTTTAAAAAAGTGAAAACTGCCCCCCCCTTCCCCATACGCATATTATTAGACATGTGCGAAGACTAAAAATTAATTTCGGATCAAAAGAACGAAAACTAAAAACGTTTTCATTTGTTTCATCAAACAAAACACATTTATGCTATTTTGGATTCAGCCATTGGCGTGTTCTGGAGGCAAGGCCGCATGACGTCATATAACACCGCACGTGTTGGGTGCCGCCATCTTGGTGTATATCTAGGTATACACCAAGATGGCGGCGCCTATATCGGCGTCTGATGTCACGCATGCAAGATGTCATGTAACGTCATGCTCTCCGCCTCCAAGATGGCGGCACGCATTCGCAGAACGCGCCGATCGCCAAAATGGCCGCCACACATTCTCAAACAAATTATTATGTGCCCGAATACATTTTTCGTATATTCGGGCAAATAGTAATTCATTAATTTTACAAGTAGTCTGGGTTTTGTGTTCTGTTTTTTATTTTTACTTTTCTAGATATACTTACTTGAAGAAAGGGTCGGCAAGACAAGCTGACACTTTATTTTTATAGACTCTATTTTAGTTTGACATTTATTGTTTATCACTTGTTTGCCTTCTGATGTTTTATTTAATAAGAATACTTTTATTGCGCCTACAAGTTTAATACCCTTGAATAAAAGTTTTATTTTTATCATACTTTTTAATATGTTTCTTTGGGGCTTAACAAAATAGGAGTCTTTAAATGGTGCGGATATCGGGGAAATGGGTGTGGCTACTGAAGGGTGTGTAGGGTTGCCACCTTTTCTTCAAGCGAAACCCGAACACTCTAGTAGCCCCTATCTTGATTTTGGTTGCCCCTGTCTGCCTAACATCTTGTGTCTGGGTTTCTGCTGCCATGAAACCCGGACACAGCATTCAAAACCCGAACTGTCCTGGTGAATCCTGGACAGGTGGCAACCCTAAGGCTGTGGCCACTGAGGGGCGCTGTAAAGCTTTCTCGCACAGGGAGCCTAAAGGCCTAAGGCCGGCCCTGGTGTTACTTGCCCCCTGGGCCAAAAGTTGCCAGTCAGCCCCTTTTCCTGAGGATGTAAAAGCGCCCTTCCTTGACCTGTTCTTTTCCCGCCCCAAAAAATCCCCTTTTTATTTTACGCTTTATTTACAGCAAGAAAAAAAAGTTAACTAAAAAAAATAATTGTGACAGTGCGGAAATACAAATCACTAAATTAAATAAACTACCCTAAATACAGCCCCCACATACTTTTTCGCCAAGCAGCTCAGTTATGAAAAAGGGTTTCCATTCTGACTAAATGAATTTCACCCGAGTCACCGCATTCCTATCACTGTCATTGGGGACTGAGCATAGACCATAGAGGTGTGCGGTCCTCCACCCGCATAGAGCGTCTCCCGTTGCTGGCTGCAGACCTCAGAAAATGTGTAGAGATCCCGCTCCCACGCCCCGTGCTGTTATTGTGTGCGGCCACTAGAGAGCGCTCGCCGGTGTTCCGGACGCAGCGAGTCTTCGGAGGATGTTCTATCCGAGGCTTTGCTTCGGCTTGCTGGTTGAAGCTCTGAGGCGGGAGCGCACCAGTGTTCGTCCGGCTCCTGTCATCACCTCCGCCATGAGTACCGGGCCCACCACGGTGATTCAGATCACCAACCTGTCCGCCGCTGTCACCAGCGAGCAGATGCGGACCCTCTTTTCCTTCCTGGGGGTCGTGGAGGAGCTACGGCTGTACCCACCCGAGTGAGTGTGGAGGGCCGCTGTGTGTATCAGTGATGGAGCAGTGGGGGTGAGGAGCACTGTGCTGTGGGTATCAGTGATGGAGCAGTGGGGGTGGGGAGAATTGTGCTGTGTGTATCAGTGATGGAGCAGTGTGGGTGGGCAGCACTGTGCTGTGGGTATCAGTGATGGAGCAGTGGGGGTGGGCAGCACTGTGCTGTGTGTATCAGTGATGGAGCAGTGGGGGTGGGGAGAATTGTGCTGTGGGTATCAGTGATGGAGCAGTGGGGGTGGGGTGCTGTGTTGACAGGGATGCACAGTGATGAGAGTGCTGGATGTGCTGAGTATCAAGGTAATGAAGCAATAATGAATGGACAGTGCTGTGTAGGTCATGGTGAGTCTACAGAGGGTGCACGGCGCTGTGTACGTCACGGGTGAGACTACAGAGGGTGCACGGCGCTGTGTAGGTCACGGTGAGACTACAGAGGGTGCACGGCGCTGTGTAGGTCACGGTGAGACTACAGAGGGTGCACGGCGCTGTGTAGGTCACGGTGAGACTACAGAAGGTGCACGGCGCTGTGTACGTCACGGGTGAGACTACAGAGGGTGCACGGCGCTGTGTAGATCACGGTGAGACTACAGAGGATGCACGGCCAGGGTGTGGAATTCGTATCGCCCGACGCCCGGGACATGTAGTTCCGGGCAAGTGGTTTTTGCACTGTTTTAGCCCTGCTACGGACAAGTAGCAGGGCTGGCTTTCTTTGAGCGCCGAGAGCGGCGCTACGAGCGGGGACGGAGCGGTGAATGAGATAGGGACGGAGCAGAGGGTGTGACGGAGCGAGGGCTCTTTAGTCCTTGGACAAGTAGTTTTTTCCAAAATTTCCACACCCCTGATGCACGGCGCTGTGTAGGTCACGGTGAGACTACAGAAGGTACACGGCGCTGTGTAGGTCATGGTGAGTCTATAGAGGGTGCACGGCGCTGTGTAGGTCATGGTGAGTTTATAGAGGGTGCACGGCGCTGTGTAGGTCACGGTGAGACTACAGAAGGTACACGGCGCTGTGTAGGTCATGGTGAGTCTATAGAGGGTGCACGGCGCTGTGTAGGTCATGGTGAGTTTATAGAGGGTGCACGGCGCTGTGTAGGTCACGGTGAGACTACAGAAGGTGCACGGCGCTGTGTAGGTCACGGTGAGGCTACAGTTGGGGCTCGGTGCTGTCAGGGGAGGAGACTGCAGTGGTGGGCTGTCAGGGGTGGAGACTGCAGTGGGGGCTGTCAGGGGAGGAGACTGCAGTGGGGGCTGTCAGGGGAGGAGACTGCAGTGGGGGCTGTCAGGGGAGGAGACTGCAGTGGGGGCTGTCAGGGGAGGAGACTGCAGTGGGGGCTGTCAGGGGAGGAGACTGCAGTGGGGGCTGTCAGGGGAGGAGACTGCAGTGGGGGCTGTCAGGGGAGGAGACTGCAGTGGTGGGCTGTCAGGGGAGGAGACTGCAGTGGGGTCCTCCTGCAGGTACTCACTGGGGGCACATCAAGTGGGCCGATTACAATACTTTGTCCGATCAGTATTTTGTTCCCCGCTGAGGCTGTATTATTGTCGTCTGCAGTGGCCCGCTCCCCTCCATAGCCTACATGTTGTATTGTGTCTGAGTGCATGAAGACAGACATGACTCCCGCTGAGAGATGCATCATGGGATTTTTAGTTTCACTACAGCTGGAGGGCCAGAGTTTGGCTACCCCTGACCTGGAGTCATCCATTCTACTTAAATAAAATCATTTTCTAATAAGCGCAGTGTGTGTGAATGAACGCCATTTGTTGGGGGCGAGATGTCACGTTTTATTTCTGAAAGAAGAGGAGTCCTGGTGCCTATTGAAGGACACATTACTTTAAAGTGCAAGGTCCACGTCTAATGTCCGGGCCCCCTCCCTCTGGGAACTTCTCCTGATGTACCTGTAAAGATGGAAATGTTAGATTTTATACTTATTCACTGTTCTGTATTTTTCATTCAACCCTCTGGCTGAACGAAAAAATAGAACCGTTTCCTCTATCCAAGCTTACTAGTGTTGGAGAAATCTCCCGCTGTCCTCATTGTACCCACACAGAGCTGGCAGCTTATTGGCTGCCAGCTCTGTTCATTCAAAGATTTCCCTGACTGGCTCCTTAGATTAGCTGATTTAGAGATGGCAGCTGAAAGGGTACCGACTGCGGCACCCACTGTGCCGAAATTCGCATAGTGTATAACCACCTTTACCCTCGTCTAGTACCTACAGCACCTAGGCTAGAGTGATGCCACACTCCTGGTGAGGTCCAGAGCAGTCCAATGCTCTTACCAGAAGATGCTCCTTCAATGGACTGGACTGTCCTCTCACAAGATTTGGCCTGCTCTGCACTCCCCGGGAATCTTCCTGGAAGGAGGTGACATCACGCCAAGAAATACAGAAGATGGGGTAAAGTGAGTATATAAAATCTATCTTTTTTTTTTTCCTTTACAGATACCTTTTGCACATGGTTCGGTCGGGTGCCCACACTTGGACGCGCACACTGTCTGCATTCAAGTACGGGTACCTAGATCAGGTTCTGGTGTGCGTGTGACTGCGTGTAATTCAGTGCAGCCGTGTTCTCCCATAAGGAAGAACAGGCAATTGCATGGAGCAGCTGTTCCTTCTGGGATGGTGTCTTTTTACGGGGGTGCACCCTTCTTAATGAGCCCTTACAGGGGAAGTGAGCTTGGACATTATAAGTGAACCTTACATTGTACTGCAAGGTCTGCTTTTAACTACTAGATTTCTCTGGCTGGCTCCTTGGTTACAAATTCATTCCTATAGTAGGACAACTGTGGCCGTTGGAGGCTGCCATGAGTACAGACATCCCATAGTAATCAATGGGACTGCAGCGAAGATGCACAGTATGAAGTGGAACCAGTGTAAGGTTTTCTTGGCCAAGGCTGTGCTGCTTCAGGCAGGGTCACCCTGTGAACATGGCTGGATCATGTTACTTTACAGTGTATTTCCACTTTTTCAGCCAAAATGGGATAACCTTTACTTTATATTTGTTTCATCTTCCCATTCACATAGCACAGCGTAAAATAGTTACATTCTACCTTCTCTTTTCTAAAAAACTCAGACTGGGGGACGGGGAGTTAAGGTTTACCATAAGTAACCCTGTCTGTACTGTTCTGGCACATCTTATCAGTTTTAATCTAGATTTGATCACTGTCTGTCTTAACAAAGAGTTAAAGATGTCAGGACTTGTGTTCTGCATTGTTAATGAGGGAAGCTCTGTGTCCCTCCACTTCCACCTTGAAATTGTTCGGACTAGCTTGCAGTCAGCCCACAGGCCTGCTCCAAAGAAACATCTAGAAGTAAGAAATTGTTTTCAAGTTCATCATTTTTAGTAATGCTGTGTGAATGGGAACATGTCACAAACATATAGTGGGGTTTTTTTTTATAATGTTGCTGCAGAAATGGAAATGCACACGAAGGCCTCAGTCACACTGATAAGTGTCGGCATGAACAGATCCACGCGGTGTGCATGGCTGTATGGGGCTGCTCCCGGGAAGGACAGGTGCCGCGTGTGATTTGTACGCAGCAGCCTGTTCTTGTCTATGGGAGTACGCCGCCCTATGCTCACCCGAACTGCACGTCCGTGCGGGTGTCCGTGGAGCATGGACACCCTCACCCGCACGGATCTGTACGGGCCGGCTCTTAGTGTGAATGAGGCCGAGAGGGTCTATTTGTAACTAAATTTGCACAGCTATTCCTCTAATGAAACGGCATGTAGGCACGTTATATGCATGTTCACTAGCTGTTGTGCAAGTGGGGCGAAAACGAATGTTCCTAGTGTATTTTCTCTTCTGATTGAATGTTGTTCAGTAGGTTCATTCATAAAGAAGAGTGAATGGCGAGAATATCCCATTATGGCCACTAGATGGAGCTGTGATCTTAGAAATAAATACATGTTAGTAACCAGTCCAGGAGAATGCATGAGAGTGAGCATGTCAGTGTAACCATTGCTATTCTCATAGTAGTATTCTGAACTACAGTAGTAGTTAGCGTATTACTGTCCTAAACAAACGCTAACACTTGTATTAGGCATGTTGTTCTTTACAAATAGTAAATAATGGAAGCTGAATTTATTTTAGTGGGATAATATACAGATGCCGCACTCCTTACTGGATATCCCAAACATAGTAAAGGAGTGTGCTCGTAGTGACCGCCGCCAGTAGTAGCAATCAATGAAGACGTCACCAGCACACCAAGTATTGTGTCAGAACAAAAAAAAAATTTGACGGCTTTGTTGTTTGTTCTGACACAATACTTGGTGTGCTGGTGACGTCTTCATTGTTTATTTGGGGGGGGGGGGGGGGGGGGGGCACGGGGGGTGTTAACG